CAGTCCACATCCTTACCCCTTTCACTGCCACCTAAACACTATCCTTCCATTATGCCCTGGCCTCTGATATACTCTTTCCCACTAGGTCTTCAGACAAAAATTTGCATGTACTTCTCACATCCCTTATGCTTTGTACATGCTCAAGCTATCCTCATTATTTTTATTAACTTACCCAAATAACGTGTAGTGGAGTACAAATTATGGAACTCTCCAATATACTATTATTTTAGTAACCCCAATCTACTTTCCTCCCTTAGAACGAGAGACAGGTTTCACACCTACAGAGCAACAGGCAAAATTGTGGTTCTGTATATTTTAATTTTTATACTCTTAGTTTGGATCTATACATCTGCTCCCCAGTATGTATGTCATGGTGCTTAGTTAGTTAGGCACAAGGAAAACTTTACCTTTTACTTTTAGTTGGGATATTTAAAGACAAAAGACGCAATATCCTGAAATGAATTCACAATAAACTTCATACAGTATTCACCGGACTCCCATTCCAAAGGTCCATTGTGTTATAAGGAGTCTGATTACTCAGAATTCTAATTATATTTTAATTGCTCTTGAGTTGTTAAGTTTCTGGCCTCAGGTACTTCTGCTGTTATATTACATGTTTCTTTCACTTGACTATGGTGAAAGTATGTGTAAACATGAAACAGAAAAAGGAAACATACAGCTGAATCCATATTTAGTTCTTCTCAATATAAAGTTTCATGTATTTGATGTTTACTTTCTGCATCTTATAACTTGTGAGGAAAATATATTGGGTATGAAATGTAAGTTTCATCTTTATTCATGACTTTTGTTTAGATCAGTTTAGATTGTTCATGTGATTTTTGTGTGAAATCCTTGCGGAAATGTATTTTGATAGTGACTTTTATTAATTGACAGATTTCAACCATAATTGAAGTTATTGACTTGTATCAGTAAAGATTCTTAATATCAAATTTCACGAAAATTAATTTAGTGATTCTCATTTTTCTACATGCAGATTGATAGACAGCCAGACAGACACAGTGAAGGCAGTATGGGCATTTTAGTAAGTGCTCAGTGCGGACACACCAACAAGAATAAATATATGGCGCATGCATATTTTTTTTTAATCTTAACGCCGTATAGTAATATGTATACTGAGCTTGAAGAGTATGTCTTTGAACTATTTTTTGAGACAAGTACTAATTATAATGAGTACTTTCACAGATTTTGTAAATTCTTGTTATATTAAGATGGCACCATTTTTCCTCTGATACTCCCTGTACTTCCCATTGACCATGATAGGTGGTGCCCTGTAACCATGACATGGTGCATCCTCAGGTTGTTGATGGAGGCGACAGCCTGCAGGTATGAAGGGTACCTGTGAATATACTGAATAACCAGTTGTGGACAGCTGACAAGGGGTGGTCTTTCAGCTTGGGGTTCGGGTGTGGGGCTAACAACTCCTCACTGTAAAAAATAAGCTTGTTATGAAAGATGACAAGAAGCCTCGGAACTGGACAGATTCTCTGGATAAACGACCTAAGTGAAAGAAAATGGACATGAGATATGGTGCTTGGATTGTTAGAAGTATGTATAGGGCATGTTCGCTAAGGGCAGTGACGGAAGAAATCTCAATATGTAAGTTAGATTTAGTGGGAGTACAGGAGGCCACATGGGATGGAGGTGGCACCGAACCAGCAGGCAAATGTACATTTTTCTATGGAAAGGGGAATGAGAATCATGAGGTAGGAACAGGGTTTTGTGTGCATAAGGGAATCATATCAGCAGTTAAGAGGGCAGAGTTTGTTAATGATAGGATGTCTTGATTTCATGCATAAGACTAAGAGGCCGCTGGTGTGATATCATCATTCTGAATGTTTATGCCCCAACAAAAGATAAAATTGATGTATGAAGTACATGTTCTATGGAGATCTAGACTGTGTATTTGATAAATTCCCTAAATACCCTGTGAAGATTTTGTTAGGAGATTTCAATGCCAAAGTAGGTAGGGAAGACATTTTCAAACAGACAGTTGGGAATGAGAGGTCACACAAAATTAGTAATAATAATGGAGTTAGAGTAGTAAACTTTGTCATATCAAAAAATCTTGCTGTCAAAAGTACAACGTTCCCACATCGTAAAATTCATAAATTTGCATGGACATCTCCTGATGGTAAGACACACAGCCAAGTTGACCGTATTTTGATAGGAGACGGCATTCAAGTATACTTGATGTCAAATCGTTCAGGGCAGCAGATTGTGATACTGACCACTGCCCAGTGGCGGCAAAGTTAGCGAGAGACTGGCAGTGAGTAAACAAACAATACACAGAGTTCATAAGGAGAGGTTCAATCTCAAGAAATTAAATGAGGTATAGGTTAAAGAGCAGTAGCATGTTGAAATCTCAAATAGGTTCACACTGAGGTGGATATCAATAGAGCTTGGGAAGCTATTAGATAGAATATCAGAATTTCAGCCAAAGAGAATCCAGGTTATTTTGAATGTAAGAAGCACAAGCCATGGTTTGATGAAAGATGCCAAAAATTATTAGATGAAAGGAGACAAGCCAAATTGCGATGCAAGATAAATGGGAATAGTCTGAACAGTACAAGACATGAAACCAGCAGGCATTTCAGGAATGAAAAGGGAATATCTAGAAGACAAAATTGATGAGCTTGGAACTAACAGTAAGAACAAGAACATTAGTGGTCTCAATAGCGTAGTAAATGACTTTAAGGGGGTTACCAACCTAGAAGTAACTTAGTGAAGGATGAGAATGGTGATCTGCTTGCAGATTCCCACAACATTTTGAATAGGTGGAAGGACTACTTCTCCCATTTATTGAATGTGCAAAGGGTCAGTGATGTTAGGCAGACAGACATACATACAGCTGAGCCGTTAGTACCTGATCCTAGCCCTTTTGAGGTTCAAAGTGTTAATGCAAAATTGAAAAAGTATAAATCGCCAGCTAGTGATCAAATTCTGGCAGAACTTATTCAAGCACGCGGCAAAATATTACGTTCTTAAGATCCATAAGCTAATTCTATATGACATAAAGCAAAATTGCCTGATCATTGAAAGGAGTGTATTATTGTACCAGTTTATAAGAAGGGTGTTAAGACTGGCTGTAGTAATTGTCAAAGAAGGGTGTTAAGACTGGCTATAGTAATTGTCATGGGATATCACTCTTATCAACTTCAGACAAAATGTTACCCAATATTCTTCTTTCAAGGTTAAGTCTATACATAGATGAAATTATTCGGGATCATCAGTGTGGGTTTCAACGTAACAGATCAACCACTGATCAGATCCTTTGCATTCATCAGATAATTGAGAAAAATGGGAGTACAGTGAGATGGTACATAAGCTCTTCATAGAGTTCAAGAAAGCCTATGATCCAGTTAGAAGGAAAGTACTGTACAATATTGTGATAGAGTTTGGGGTACCCATGAAAGTACTTTTTTGCTAATTAAAATATATTTAAATGTATAGTAAAGTCAGTATAGGTAAACATTTTTCTGATAAATTTCCTATCCAGAATGGTCTAAAACAAGGAGATGCTTTATCGCCACTCCTTTTCAACTTTTCTTTAGAATAAGGCATTAGGAAGGTCCAGGAAAACCAGGCAAAGCAGAAATGTAATGGGACACATCAACTGTTGGTCTATGCTGAGGTGAATCTTCCGGGTAATAACATAGATACCATAAAGAAAAACACACAAATTTTGATTGACACAAGTAAGGAGGTTGGTCTAGAAGTAAACACAGACAAAATTAAGTATATGTTGCTGTCTCATCACAAAAATACAGGGCAAAATCATGACAAAAGAAATAGGTAACAGGTGTTTTGAAAATGTGGCACACTTCAGATTTTTGGAAATGACGATAAATCAAAACCTGATTGAGGAGGAAATTAAGAGGAGACTGAACTCAGTTAATGCTTGCTACCTTTCAGTCCAGAACCTTTTGTCTTCTCATCTGCTGTCCAAAAACATAAAAATTAAAATACACAAAACTATAATTTTGCCTGTGGTTCTGTATGGGTGTGAAACTTGGTCTCTGACACTAAAGGAGGAACATGGACTGAGGATATTTGAAAACAGGGTCTTGAGGAGAATATTTGGACCAAAGAGAGATGAAATGACAGGAGGTTGGAGAAAACTGCAAAATGAGGTGTTTCATAACTTGTACACTTCTCCAAATATAATTAGAATGATCAAGTCAAGGAGAATGAGATGGGCATGGCATGTAGCATGAATGGGGAAGAAGAGGAATGCATATAGGATATTGGTGGGAAAGCCAGAAGTGAAGAAACTACTAGGAAAACAAAGATGTATGTGGGTGGACAATATTAAAATGGATCTTAAAAAGATAGGATGAGTTGATGTGTATTTGATTGATCTGGCTCAGGACAGGGACCAGTGGAGGGCTCTTGTGAACATTGTAATGAACCTTTGGCTTCCATAAAATGCTAGGAAGTTCTTGAGTAGCTGCACAATTGGCGGCGTCTCAAGAAGGGATCAGCTCCATGAGTGAGTGAGTGAGTGATTGATTCTTCCCATTGTAATGTTTCCACGCAGTCAGTCATTAAGTGCTAAATGTTCATGTATAAGCCATTATATTCAGTTTATTTCTCTCCTTCTAGCCTTTAGGCAGGGAAGTAACACCTGTACAAAATCCAAGACAGGAGGCATACCGCATGCGAAAAGAAGGCATGCATCACAGCAGTCGTGTGGAGCAGCAAATGATGGGGACAGATTCTTCACAGGCTTTGAACTCTATGCTGAGGCCAGAGGTAATCAGGTACCTGGTTAAACTACAGCCTAAATTGTAATAGTAATTTTCAATTGTAGAGAATTCTGCTAAGTTTTTAAAGTACGAGTAATATGGTACTTCATTGATACATAGTTACGAAAAGCAGGGAAATAATGAACCATGTCAGTAGAACTGTGTCAAATGTGATAATTAAGTTGTTTATATGAGGCTTGTAAAATGAGTCCAGTCAATGAGTTTTCTGGACAGTGGACTAGAGGTCATTAAAAATAGCCTGCATGGACATTGAGGGAGGCATCGCTTTGATGCACCAGCCAATGTATCCCATTTGCAAATAACTCCTGAGCTGCTGCCAGAACCATTACACTACCATGGCCTTGTCATCATTATCTGACCTGAATCTACAACCCTTCAGTGTTTTCATGATGTGATCAAATATGAGGAAGTCATATGGTGACATGTTTTGAGCTGGATGAGGAAATGTCCCAACACCTTTCAGTACATGGGATGCAGCATGTCCTGGACATTGCAGGCCACAAGGTATACTTCAACAATCGTACACCACTGAACTGCAGTACGTAAAGTTTGATACAATGTTATAAATGTGTTTGCCTGATGATGGCCACTTGTGGCCCAAACATGTAGCAGAACTGTACTGAGCATTGTCCTTGAAGTTCTATATTTGCTGTGTTGTGACAGTTACATGAAGAGATTGTATATATCGTAACATGGCAGGATGCATGAAATTAAAAAAAAAAAAAAGTAATATGTAATAAATCAAAACGCTATTACATCAAACAACCTATCAACACACACACAACCTTCGACTACACCCCTGTTTTCAACTTCCCACAATTTAACTGCTCATACTGTACTATCCCTACATGGCACAAAGCAACACTTTCTTTTTTTTTTTCTCAAAACTCCATTGAACCAGAATCTCTTAACAAACTAACAATCAACCAGTGACCCGACCACAGTCAAGTACTCACTCGTGCTGAACACAATGAAAATGATGAACAATAGTGCTATCACAACTTCTTCTCACAGCACACTTTGCTCTAGTCCAAGGGTCTCCGAACTACGGCCCGCGGGCCACATCCAGCCCGCAATGTGATTTTATCTGGCCCTCGAAAGAATTGTGCAGAAATGTGCCAGTTGAACTAATTTTCCAATGAGTACTGGTAAAAAAAATACTTGTTCATAGATTTCAAATTCATTAATTAAGATTGTGTTTAAAATATATTGATATTCCATATTATGTTAATATTAATATTATTCACAATTTTACTAATTCTGGACCGTATACTGTGCAGTATTTCTTTGTACTTGTTCGGCCTCGATCGGCAGTGTCATTTCGTGGCAATGTAGTTAGCGCGAGCAGTTCGTTACTAGCCATCTTGTGCACAAGACTTCTTGCAGTGGTGCTGTGTAATTGTAACAGATCATCATCACCTCAATTTAATCAGATTTTAAGAATGCAAAAAGAGTTTCATCATTCACATTAATTGTTTTATTATAATTTGTGATGAAAATACAAGCATTTCCTACTACTGTCTGTTGTCATTAATATACGATAATTTATTCTCACGTACTTTGTATTTAGTTTATGAAATTCTGTGCTTTCAGTAAAACTCATATCTAGAGTTATTAATTTATCATTTTATCCGGCCTGTAGAAAGTGCAAAATTACCTAATGTGGCCCGCGTTTCAAAAAGTTTGGAGACCCCTGCTGTAGTCCATCTGTTCTGAGCAACTGCTAAAACAGAATGCCTGCAAACGGCTTTTTTCTCAATTCCAAAATCACAACTTTTTCTCAAGTCACGGAAAAGCTGCTTGTGCAAAACCCCGAAGGTCAGAAACTTATTGGACGTTTCCTGTCACGCGAGCGAAACTTGACAGGGTAATTCCACTGATGCGTAAACAATCTTTGCTAAGTACAGCACAATCGACTTACAAGGAATGCAAGGCGTCAGGTACGGTTCTGTCTCCTTGCCATCCAGCCAGCCGTCTGGCGTTTAACCTAGGTATCCAATCTTACAAAAATCATACTTAATGTGTAATAAAATGGGCACAACACTGCACATACTCCAACAGTAGTTCCATACAGTTTTGCTGAGAATTCTACAGTAGTGTTATGCATGAATGATGATGTCCAGGTCCCATAGATGTTAGTGTCAGCAGTCCACTGATGTTGAAGAAAATCTTACATGACCTTACCTGCAGTTGGTTGGAAGTCAAATTTCTTAGGACAGGGAGAGGAGGATGTTTACATTGTATCCTTAACAGATTTTTCTGTGGGTTCAAAATGGTGGCATCACTTCTTATCTCCCTTCAAAGTAAAAAGTTAAGGTGAAGTTGTCTCTGTGCCTAACTAATTAAGCACTTCACCATGAAGGTGTATGAGGCAGTAGATGTATAGATCTACGTTTTCTTGACCTCGGTAGTAGTTGGAAGTCAGCGGTCAGCTTCACACCCTGGCCGCTTTACCCCCAGTGAAATAGCTCCAGGTAGCCACTGGATATGAGGCTGGGTGGGCCCCAGAGCCAGTCTGGAATATGTGGAGAAAAGAAAATTCTTGACCTTACAGGAACTTAAACTCCAGCTCCTCAGTCATCCAGCCTGTAGCAATTTGCAATGTAGACTACACTATCCCAGCTCCTTCCCCCTTCAGAGTTCATTGTAAAATTGCATTGGTCTCTGCTGGTAGGCCAGCAGATGCTTCAGTGATAGCACCATGTAAGCAGTCAGGGACCCATCAAGTATGCATCTTGTGATATCTCAGGTGTCACATGACAATGTGTGCAGTACCAATACCCATATTGAATTTCACTGCTACTGCACAAATGCTGCAATATATCTACATGAACAGCTGCCTTCGTATTTGCAGCATTCTTGGGTATTGCAACAGTGTGTGTACATGGCCACTTCATACCTTATAGTTTGTTTCCTGCCCACTGAACAATACTTCTGATACCACTCCACCAATGCTGTCTTTGAGAAACACCCATTTCTGTACACACCTGGCTGATAGTCCTTCACATCAATGAACTTTTGGTCCTGTTTGGACATATTCTGCACATGGAACACAGCATCTAACCACGTCTCACTATTGCCATTTGCCTCATTGCACATCTCATGGTCAGCTGCTGGTTATCATATGCAGAGCCATGCGATCACCTGCAACTGGCCTTGTTCACTGGAAGAGCTAGAATGGTTTTCATTTGATCAGTTTTCATAGTCAGTATACCACTGTGCAGTGAAATTTGTGGAACTTAACAGTTTCAGATGTTCCAAGTACTGTGTTATTTTATTCAGGCACTAAGTATTATCTAGGAGCCATGAAAGCGTAGTTGGTATAGTGACTAGCTATGAGCTGGATGATGGAGGGTCAGAGTTTGAGTCCTGGTAGGTTTCAAGAATTTTCTCTTCTCCACATTGTCCAGACCGGCTCTGGGGTCTACCCAACCTCCTATCCAGTGGGTACCAGGGGCTCTTTCCTTGGGATTAAAGCAGCTGAGGCGTGAAGCTGACCCCACACATCCAATGAGTGCCAAGTTCAAGAAAATGTGGATCTATACATCCACTCCCCCATATGCCCTCATGTCATAGTGCTTAAGTAGTTAAGCACAGGGACAGCTTTACCTTTACTTAAGCATTATGTGTCATAGGAAGGTAATTTTTTAAATTGTTCGTAAGATAAAAGTTTTAGTATATTTATGATTCTTTAAGAAATTCCAAAGAAGGAATATAGGATTCTGTTAGTGAGCTCCATTTGTCTCTCTAGATGATCATAGATTTAATTATGGAAATCAATATTGTGAACTCTAATTGACCAGTTTTCAATAATGCTGGTATGATTGAACATCTGTATTTCCTAAGCTGTTTGAAACCTGTAAATGTCTGATGTACTGTACCATTATATTTAAATGCTTTTTGTTTTATTATCTGCCATTCTGACCTTTTAAAAACTGTGAAGATAAGGAACTGTGGTGTAGTTTCTTCCATAGTGAGCCTCATGGCTTTTAATTTTTTTTAATTCCCTTAGTGGGGGATGGAGTTCAACTGGGTCCACTCAGCATGGTGGCCACTAATTGGCCTATTGTAGCCTGCCCTGGGTGATTATGATGATGGAGAATTTGGTGGAATAAAGATTGGCAGGGGAAACCGAAGTACTCAGAGAAAACCCGCCCCAGTGCCACTTTGTCCACCACAAATCCCACTTGAACAGACCCCGGGATCGAACCCAGGCCGCCGCAGTGGGAAGCCAGCAACTAAGCTCTTGAGCTATGGTGTGGCCTAGCCTCATGGTTATCAAAAACTGAGAATGACCACCTCTGTGTGAGGTACAACTAACTTCATGAAGCAGTATTTTTCTTATGAAACTAACAGTCCCTGAGCTGCTAAAGCAATTTTTCAACTTTTATGGAATACACAGATTCATCACTGTGTTTTCAAGGGCCTGCCACTCTTTCGTGACCTGACTCAAGATTAATGCAGTCCAGCCATGTCACTCAGTTTCTCTGACCTCCTTTCCATTTAGAACACATGTGGTGCTGTCTGCATAGTCTGTTCTGGTTATTTAAATTTGAAAGATTTTATTATAACTGGGATTATTATTTTGAGATTTGCCCATCTTGGTTTTTTCAAACCACAGAATTTTTGGAAAATGGGTCTCTTCCAGGCAGAAGAGGTTCCGAATCCATTGGCCCTATTAGAGAGATCTAGTCTCAGTCAGTGAAGCATTTTCTTATGATTGTATGAACCAAATCAAATGATTGTGTGATGTTTACTACATTGGAAGGTGCAAGGCCCTTTTGATTTTATTATGTTTTCCCATGTTAGGAGGAGCAAAGAGTTATGCTATGTGAGGTATAATGTGTACAAGTGGGTGCTGGGGTAGATTATCATTAGACTGTCTTGTCTATCTCTCTTTATCTTCATCATTGTTGTATATGTATCATTATCACTGATATTAAATCTCCTGTAGTTGTTACAGAAGTTAACATTCACATTTATTCAAGAGTATACAGTAGGGCATGATGATAATATAACATTTCATAAAGTTGAAGTTTCTTTATCTCAGATCATGATGTTGTGTAGGGTGGTGGAGGACAGAAGAGAAAATCAGACCAGATGGCTAAAGATTCTGATGATGAAGAAGAAGAAGAAACCCATGATGAAGTTCGATTATGGGAAGACGGTTTCAAAGACAGATACTATGAATCCAAATTTGATGTGGCCCCAGACAACATTGAGTTCAGGCACAGAGTGGCATTTCAGTATGTTCGTGGCCTGTGTTGGGTGCTGAAATATTACTATCAGGTATAATTTCATCTTCTGTTTGAGTCAACATTTTTTTGCGTGGTTTATTCCACAATGATTATAATATGATCAAGACATAATTTTTATAGTCTAGTATGTTATTTAAAACCATAAAAATACATAGTAGGCATTGTAATATTTTCAGCAGTCATGAATATAATTTAGACATGAATAATTACATTGTGTTCGTTAAGCTGTTGATAGTATGTTAGTTCATATATGCACATGCAGTGAAGTAGGGGCAGAATGTGGCTGAGACTTGTGAATAGAATATGAGTGATTCATGCTTGTGTGCATGTAGAAATTAATAGTGCGTATGAGTTTTGCTTGTAAAGGACAGCTCATTATTTATAATGGGTTATAAATAGAAGTGTTATGTAAATTTTAATAATATCTTTTAAGTTTCAGTTGAGATAATGGTAACTATAATGAAAGTGCCGAATTGTTCTTCCTTTTTTCAGATCCCTGGATAATACTTTCAAAGAGGAATAAGAAGTATTGCTGTACATTATTATTTAAACCTTAATGCCATGTTCTGTTGTGTGTAATCAGAAGTTAGGGAACAGAGTTGTAGTATCACATTTCAACCATTTCTGGATATTATAAGTAACTGTTAGAATGAGAATTTTTAGGAATTTTATAAATTTTTATAATGCTGGGGTTCCACTGTAGAATATTAATGAAAGAACATGTGAAAAATTAATTTCCTCAGAGCTGTCACAGAATGGAGAATAACGGATCATAAACATTGTGAAGGTTTTCGAGAAGAACTATGAATCATGTATATTAGTATTCTAAAGTACTTAGGGCGTTCCGTATATAATGCCTCCTATTTTTTTTAAAGAAAACTACAACAGATACAGAAATCATAATAACACAGTTAAATAGAGCAAGATTTCAGCTACTTACAGCTATTTTTCCACATAATCACCACCATTCGTTATGCACTTTTGCCATTGATGAACAACAGCCTGTATGCCACGCCCGTAAAAATCTGCTCCAGCAGAGGCTAGCCACTTTCTTACAGCTGCAGTGACAGCATCGTTGTCTGGAAAATGTTGCTCACGTAGTCCATCTTTCATAGGCCCAAAGAGATGGAAGTCTGAAGGTGCTAAATCGTGGCTATAAGGTGGATGTGGTAGGACAGTCCAGCCAAACTTTGCAATGTGCGCGGTGGTCGCCAAACTGGTATGGGGTCTAGCATTATCGTGTTGCAAGCGAAAGGTTGTCTGCTTCTCTGGCCTGACTAGGGAAATACGGGCTTTCAGCTTAGTCAGCTTCGTCTTGTAGCGTTCAGAATTGACAGTACCTGGTTGTTATCTGCTGATCTGTTCGGATGAGGCGCTGTTCATTGTGAGGAGTGGCAGCTGAGCAGGGATGCCCATGGCGTGGCTTGTCATGCACTTCACTTTCGCCACTGTTGAAACACACTGCCCACCGAATCACTGTGCTGACATCCACTGTATTGTCTCCGTACACCTTTAGCAAGTGTTGATGGATGTCAATGGGTACAATTTGTTTGGCAGTGAGAAATTCAATAACACATTTCTCTTTCATACACACTTCTATGCCAGGCGCCATTTTGGTAGACTGCTCTGCTGTCGCTATCTCTCACACGACAACCAAATTAACAGTGCATTGGCGGGAAGGTTCAGCCTTTACTACAACAC